TATTAACATTAAAACAGCATAATTTCTTATTAGGGTTTTTGTTTGTTTTTCCGTATATTTTTCTTCATATATATATTTTTTTCTTCATATATATATATATATATATATATATATGTTGTCTTAATAAATTATAATCGCTTTTTACCTTCGTCGTCACTTTGACTGTTTATAAATATGCATTTAATTTCCTGTAATATAGACTTTAAACCATTGTGTAGCTCCTTGCGGCTTAGTGGCATTATTGCCTTTCTTGGAGGGAAATGAATATAAAGGAAACTTAATGAGTACATATTTTGGGTAACCATACATACATGCATATATATATATATATATATATATATATATATATATATATATAAAGAGAGAAAGAGAGAGATAACAGACTGTCACCATTCAGAGTTGACAGCGAAACTTATATTTACTTATTTAATTATATGATTGCGTTTATATATATATATATGTTTTGTGTGTATATATACATATATATATATATATATATATATATATATATATATATATATAGAGAGAGAGAGAGAGAGAGAGCCATATATATATATATATATATATATATATATATATAATGGCCGCGTACTCATTTTCAGGCGCATACGTCAGCTAGTGCAGCTAACAAATTCCTTTTGCAGACATTAATTATTCATAATTTATCTATGCTGAACACACTTTAGAGACAGTTTCTTCTTCTTCTTCTTCTTCTTCTTCTTTGAGAGAGAGAGAGAGAGAGATTATAATATGATTAGCAGTTTGAAGAAGTCTAGTACGTGTCAAGTCTATTACGCTCGGTCACGATGATTTGTGATTTCGTGCTAATAAACATTCGACGTTTCCCGAATATTTCCGTCTACCCGATTTCACTGACAAGGCCTGGGTTATTCGAGAGGTATGGTTTACGATTATTTTCTAAAGTTGTCGCCCGCTGGTATCCCCTACCTAGTCCCATAGCGAATTAATCATGCTGAGATTTGACTCGGGTCACATGACTGGAAAGCAAACATTCTTAGCCATCGACACTGCGCCTGCGTATGTATTCATGTATGGTTGCGTGGTGAGAACAGTTGCTTTCCAATCATGAGAACAGGGTTAAAATCTCCCCATGTTCCATTTGTTTTTTTGTTTTTTTATATGTTATCGGTCCAGGGTCTTTACGATAATATGACTTATGTCATGCATCCAAAGAAAGTAAGACTCGATGACGCTAGGATATTTTAATCTGTAGCCTGTCATTTCGATTCGTACAGTAGGTGCAGAACATGCATATTTGTGTTCGTATCTGTATACCGGGTCTAACAGAAAAATTGTCCAAATTTTGTAACAGCACGGGGGGGGGAGGATATCCATCCCACAAAATGTTTAATATCTAAAAAAAAAAAAAGTGCTAAACTAATTGAGTTTATTTTCCCAGGTTTTTAGATAAGTTGTTTTAAACATCTTGAAACCATTTATCGTAAGAATCACTAAAAAAAAAAAAACTTGATTAAGCGCTTAAGTGCGGATGAAAGATCAATCTTCATTACACTGTGATCAATCAATCACAACGTGGGAAAGACTAGATGAAAAATCGAAGCGGTAAACAGATACCCATCAGTTGATCGGTGCCAGTACTGACCAGATTGGGAAAGAACCTGTATCGTGTCCTGCTAATGGGCCGACCGTGTTATACGTCAACAAGGACCGGGAGTCATACCAGGTAGATGGTTACAGATTTAAGTGGCCCAGTTTATGTGGACATGTAAGTAAGATAATAGTTAATCCTAGATTTAAACAGGTTAATAATGTAGTGATCGGAAAAGCATCCTCTTGGGAGTTGGTTCCACGGAGCAGTGGTTCGCGTGAAGAAGGTTCTCGTGTGAAAAATCTCATCAATGGAATACGAAGGCAATGAGTGTGGTTCGCGTACAATGGGCGTGGCATGGCGGGTCATAGCCGTGAAGATTAGAACCGGTGAAAGTAAAGAATGTCGGTCGGTTTAGTGCTTTTTCATGGAAGTAACGACAGATTAGCGAGAAGCTTGCGACATCTCGTTTGTGGGAAAGAGGATGCAAGATGGAAAATAATTTATAACCAACAAGGACGCGGTGATGCGTTTTCTTTGTACTGAGATTAGCACCTGCCCAAACAGGACAGAAGTACACCAATATAGTTCTGATTTGCCTCTTGTAAATGGTACTAATGTAAAATCACACCCGCCCCCGGTTACCCAGCCTATACGGCCATCTGTAAACAGAACCGGATCCATTGGCTTGGACGTGTACACCGTATGCCGAATGGTGGGGATTACGAAGGTCCTTCTGTACGGGGAACTGGTCATCGGCAAGAGAGCACGATGGCGATGTCATCTTCGCTCTAAGGACGTCTGAAAAACGGACAATGAGGGCGATGGACATCACCACCAAGGGGTAAGAAGACGTCGCCAACGATCGGTTACGATGAATCTGCGATTTACACTGAAGCCTAGAGCGAAGAAAGAAAAATAAAACGAAGGTTTGCCGCCAGTGAGAACAGTGTTTGGTACGTGAGAGAGGAGTTTCAGTTATGATTGTCCATAGAACAGAGAAAAAGACTTGTACGTGAAACGTGTTAGGCAACTTGTTACTCCAGGACAGAAAGTTAGAAAGTTAGAGAGGGCGGAGATCACCTTGAATAAGTTGGGAAAGGATCCTGGAATATATATGTGTGTATTTGAACTTAATTTCGATCCTTCATGAGCTTCCGTTCTTTAGATAGTGTTAATTAATGATGGACATGTCATATTCATCACGATACTTCTGTTAAGTTTGGAGAGTAACTATATATTCATATTGTTCAAAGTAGATTTTTGTAGTGTTATGAAAACCAGGGGATATTCCAGTAAGATAGTTTTAATCATTTTTAAGCTACAATGGTTCAAATCTTAATGTAAAAATTGGACAATTTTGCTGTTACAATATTTGAACAATTTTGCTGTTACACCGGGTATAGATATATAATGGATATACCCTCAAGGTGTCCCCGTACATTGAGCGACTACTGGTCATCAAACTCTACCCAGACCTGGATTAACACACGTAAATACGATCCATTGCTAAAGATGATGGGAAAATGGTCAGTTCCCTGTACCGTATACGTATGTACCCGGCTCCTCGTGCTATCCCGTAACCTTGATTGTCGCATCCGAGAGAGCGTGGATCTGCGCCCAAAATATTATGCTCCAGGCCGCTGATGGCGGTGCAGTGTCTGTTATGGCTGTCAAGGCCCACAGATGCGTGACAATCTCGATTAAAATGAATACATGTAAAGACGTTCGACCCCCCCCCCCGATGTTGCAGTGTTGGTTTCTTTCCTTCGACCACTTTTCACACTGGCGGCAAACCTTCGTTTTTTTCTTCTCCTCGGTCCAGGCCTCTGGGCAAATCGCGGATTCTGCGTAACCGATCGTTGGCGACATTTTCTTACCCCTTGATATTGATGTCCATCGCTCACATTGTCCGTTTGGATCTATTAAAAAAGAGGATGGCTGAATGTACAGCCGAAAGTACTAGCAGATTTAAAAAAAAAAAAAAGGACCTTATACAACTTGAAGTTATTAAAAACAAGGATCATAACATTCATTGAGTGATTCTTAGGAAAATGTAACTTTAAAATTTTGTTTGCAAAAGGATTTCGCCATTTTATATCATTAACTTTACTAATCTACTTTTTGTATGAATGATTCATGTAATATAAATTGAACTGCACCACATATTTGAATATATATATATATATATATATATATATATATATATATATTCAGTTGTATGGGTATGAGTTTGTGACTCAATCTTCCTAAATTTTCGCTTGAGGATGAAACAGGGCTTGATACTTTAATAATTATATTGTGGTTTTCGGCTCTCATTTTTGAAACATGAGAACTCTTATGTAGCGAAGGAATCATATTTTTTTTAAAAAAATAATTATAATTTAAGCTCTACTTCTGTATGGAGCACTGTTTTATAAAAATAAAAAAAAATAAAAAAATACTAAAGAACTCCGGATTATTAACCTAACGTGTTATTTCCTATTTTTCTATATATCTGCACATATATATATATATATATATATATATATATATATATATATATATATAATTTACACACACACATGTATATATATTTATATATATGTGTGTGTGTGTCAGTGTCAGTGTGTGCGTGTACGAATGTGTGTTGATCAGTTTTTAACAATATACATTTGTTTCCACCACTGTGCCTGAGCGCGTATGCAGAAGGCATTACATTTTATGAATATATTTTTTTAAAATTTAAATGCTAGCCACATTGGAAATGGTATAAAATGTGACATTAAATTATTCTCATATTGACAGTGTCTCGTTCTACTCAGATTTCTGCAGATTGTTTTCTTTTGCAGAATTCACAAATCGTTCAAAACATACAATCTTCCTTTTAAATCAGTGATTCTATTACTAAGCCAAAACCCAAACACAAATATTGATTAAACACCCCGATGAAAATTACATTTTCGATAATCAAATTTCTTTTCCATTTTTTTTTTTTAATAATGAAAAAGACATTAATTCATCTGCTTACAATATAAAGGATTAAAAAAAAAAAACAAAAAAAAACAAAAAAAACATGTTAATAAATAAAATTTCTTTTCTAACAAAATTTTATGAATAAGAAATGAAAGACACCGTACTTTTTAGCGCTTCATGCTGACTTGTAAACTTGTTAGACCTTTTCTTAATGGCGTCTCCCGAGAGAGGAAGACCTATTTAGTTAAAGCCTAAGCAAAATTTCCCTGTAGTGACAACTTATTTAGGACTCTTTGTTAAAATCTACAATGAAAAGACGTCATTCGCTTCATGATAACTGGAATGTTGCCAACAAGTACAGAGACTCGGGGTGTGTTAGTGAAGGGTAACTAATGCGATCGTAAAACTCTCCTGGCCACAAAATTTGAAATTAGAATTTTGATGAAGCTTTTGTGTCATTTATAGCGTGGCCAATTCAATTTCGGCGCCAACATGACGATTGTAGCCCTGCGGAGAAAAATGGAAGGAGAATTTTGTTTAACATTAACAGACAAGGGATTGAGGAGAAGAGAAAAATAAGAAAGATGAATAAAGGAGGGAAGCCTAAGGAATGGGAGGCAAAAACGGAATGGGTAGACCAGAAAGAAAGGAAGACATGATAAATAATAGATAGATCAATCGATTGACATATATATAGATAGAGAGATAGATGAAGAAAAATAGATATATCTATAACGACAAAGGGAGATAGATAGATAGATAGATAGATAGATAGATAGATAGATAGATAGATAGATAGATAGGTGAAGAGAGGGAGATATATCGATAGGAACAACGATAGATAGATAAATGGATTATAGAGAAGGGACAAGAGAGACACTAAAAGAGAGGTAAGAACAGATGTGCATAGATAGATAGATAGATAGATAGATAGATAGATAGATAGATAGATAGATAGATAGATAGATGAAGAGACGTAGTTAGATCGATAGCAAAAAAGAGAGATAAATACATAGATAATAAATAGG